ACTATTTTATAGAGTATTTTATAAATTTACTAAATATTATTTTGATACTTGGCATTCTTACTCTATAACTCTTTGTTTAGGAGTATTTCTATAAGGGATAGAATAGAATGATACCATTTACCTTTGGTACAAGGAGGTCACAACTAATCTTCACCATTGGGTGTGAAATTGGGTGGTTGTATTTATTTAATTGACCAAGCTCAAAGTTCAAAATAAAATTTCAAAAACTTTGTGACACACCCAAGTTATTATATAACATATCGGATGACTATAAGTAATTGTGACTTACCTATACCAAAGATAAATGGTCTCATTATACAATCCCTTTATATAATATGGTAACTTGTTTAGTATAATTAAGGCAAATTAATCAATGATGTATTATAATTTTTTGGTAAATTATTTGTGTTAAGAAATGATATCACCCACATGAACATGATTTCATCCACAATAAATATTAGTTGCCTTCTAAGAACTAATAAAATATCACTAGAGATTTTGGGTTTTGAGTAGACTGAATTGTCTATCATTGTGATAAGAATATTTTGGGAGAGATTGGAACAAATTTGCACATATTTAGTGAAACAATGAGATAAATAAATTTTGATAAAGGGAATTAGAAACTCCTAGAAATTTAGACTTTCAAATTCTTCTATTTTGCCTTTTTAACCAATAGAGCATATTAAAGGATCCAACGCAATTTGGAATCAAATTACACATGATTTTGCTAGATGGAAAAAGTTTATATAAGCTACTACGGATGCCCCTCAAAAATCTATCGAAAAATGTAGTCTTAATGTTGAAAAACCATTTGATTGATCATCACGACATCGAGATGTATGACTATATAGAAAAATAGAAAGATTTTAAGTCTCAGAAATGGTGCATTTTACAACATATTATCTACACCGTCCATTTTAAGATTTTCATATGTTCATATATCTACTTGATTTTAATTTTGAAATTTAAAATTTTATAACTAGATATAACAATAGATTTTGAGATAATCCTAAGAACATTTTACATCAAAATTATATACCATGATAAAAATTGAAAGTGCACTTTACCTCTACACCTACGGATGCATTTGTATGCAAACTGCACCCTTGAGAGATTGCAAGAAATGCAAATCTAGTTTTGGGGCTCAAAAAAAGGAGAGAATTTGATAACAAAATTAAAGCAACTTTTAACTAAAAAATCGATTTTTCGTAGTATAAGAGGGATCAATTTGTGTAAGTTTTGATCAAATGTGGTTAAAAATGGGATTCAAATATGGGGAAAATGAATCTCATATAAGGACAGGACCAAAAGAGGGGCTTTTACAGCCTTTTTTTTTGAGGTCAAGAGGGGCGTTTTGTGGCCTCTTTTCTGGAGAAAGTGAGTGCACCAGGAATCAGTTTATACACCGGCAGTCCCATGCTTAATTGGCTCGACGAATTTATAAGCCTATTGATATCATGAAAATTTTTGCACTTTTCTCTATTTGAAATGGTTTCCTTCTCCCTGGGGAGCATACTGTTTCAATTGCTCCCTTCTTCAATTTTTCTTTACTTCATATCTATTTTCCCAATAAAACACAAGGGTGACAATTTTAAATACTCCATAAGATCTAAACCACAATTTTTGGATCCATGCTCCTATTTGATGAAATGAAAAATGAAAAAAAGGAATTCTCTTTCATTTACCTTTCATTTTTCATCCCCCAAATTTTCCTTTTTTTTTTGGCCCTATTTCTCTTCTTCTAAATACCATGGCTCGTCCATCAGCTGATCAGACACAAGATTGGGAGGTGACTGGCTCCATCCACCAGTCCCATCTTTTAAACACTCCTTTGGAATGTTATTTTTATTTTTTTAAGAGAAACCAATGAGAATAAAAAAATTCTATTTTGGATACTTCTCTCTCTTTCTGTTTTTTCTTTTGGGGCAAATTGAGGGGTTTTGCATGTGAGATAAAGAGTTCCAGGTTCAGGAGATTGAACCCTTTTTCATGGATTTTATTTTGTTTTTCTCGGTATGTTTTTCGAGGTAGGCTCTATTTGATCTTCTAACTATGACATTTCTCTTCTAATGAAATTTTCGAGATAGGCTTTAATTTGATTGTTTAGAGCCTCAGCTCTATATAAACTTTTCCCTTTAAATTTTACAGATGCTTAAACTTAAAGACATCCTTGTACCAAAAGGTAAATGGTCACCCTGTACTACAGTGATGACTATAGATGTACTACTGCTATGACTGCAATAGTATGCGTTTCCATATTCCTTTTCCATCCATATAATAAGAGGGTGCCTTTTGTATAGAGCCTAGGCTCTAAACAATCAAATTAGAGCATATCTTTTAATTATATCGAGAAATGTGGTGTCAATATTAGAAATCTTTGTGATAGCTTTAAAATCTATTTTTATCTTTATTTATAAAGTTTAAATCCTAAAAAATAGTGTAGATCAAAAGATCTATGAAAACTTGAAATTTGACTATCCAAAATACGTTACAAAATACACCATTTCCAAAACTTGAAATCCTTTTTTTTCTTATGTCCGTGCGTCTTGATGTCAATATGATCAATTGAGGGTATTCAGACATAAAAACAACCTCTTCAAGTGAAATATTTGAAGTAGGCTATGATTTGATTGTTTAGAGCCTCGGCTCTATACAAACTTTTACAATAATAAGATCCATATGTTCATAATAACAACATGACCACGAGATCATCACGCTCCCATCAAAGGAGTGGGTCCCACCAAACATGTCATATCAACTGCATGGAACATCGCCACTCTCTCTCTCTTATCACCTCCATCGATTCGATGGCGATTAGCCAAATGGTGATTGCTGCTCTTACGATCACATATGGATCATATTGTATTTACAGTCTCTCTAGAAGTAAAAGCATTCTCATCATTTTTATTTCCATGCTGAATCAATGTAGTTGATTGAACAACTAAATCATTGTACCAGTTATTAGAAACTTGTTTGACATGGGCTCCTACTTGTCCGAGTCACCGGGACCCATATGGTGGTGGGTCTATATGACTAACCCTAAAAATCAAGCAAGCTTGACTCTCCATAAATTCTTAGTCTTTTTCAATTGAGACTCAACCTAGTCAAGTGGTCCACTTGGCCGAATCAGCCTCTGACCCGAGCTCAAGATCTTGGCAAGTCAAAGTCTAAGCCAAGGTTCTTAGACACTCCTTTATACTTTCATATCATAAGGGCTCAAGTCAAGATGAAGATGACATGGTGGTATGCATATTGCAGGTACCCATAGGACCTAGGTTTGCTGCCATTTACTAGGAACCGAATCCAGAGGACCTCAAAGCCTATGGTTGAGGTGTTTTGAGAGCAAGATGACTCTGTGAACATTGCAATTTCTGGTCACTCTGATGAAATGCCAACTCCGTCTGATTTTTTGAGTCTTGCCGCCCTCAAGAAAACCTTTGTCTTCGACAATTGTCTCTTGGAGAGAAACAGGCTTCAATAAGGTTTGTTGTCGAATCCGATCATCAACCATTTGTTCAAGTTGATGCACATTCACCAGTGATCTATTGGTATCCTTTCCTGAAATAAAAATGTCCCTTTATCCTCTTCATGCAACTCTGTGAGCTCTTGGACGAGCATGTGTTGTAGTTTAGACCAACATATACATACATACATCAACACATACATATACATATATAGGAGAGTTGGTTATCTCACTCGAAACTCGTATCAATGGCATAGGAAAGTTTGTTATCTCACTCGAAACTCGTATCAATGGCAACTCCATTTTATTATCATTCAAATCAGTGTTACGTAGCAAGTTCATATATAACCCAATTAGACGGAGGAATAAATTGGAAATTTAGAAATTCATAATTTTGTCATGCCTTTCGTTCCTCTAAACAATTTGATAGAAATTTTAGTGGGAAACTTATCAGAAGACCTGCGAGAGATGCACTATTTCACATCTTATATATTAACAACTATCCCCAAATCATGATCATGTAGCTTTTGATGAGTATTGTAAAATTATCTGTCAGGTATTTTGAGAAATTTCCTTTTTCTGTGAATCAAGCTGCCAATTTCTATGGCGTTGACGACGCCCAAAACACCATCAATTTTATTAGACAATAGCTCCTACCTTAACTATAACTCTGGGCCTTCAGATCTACAGTTTTAAAAGCAGAGTCATTTATCCTTTTTAATTGAACACAAGGTGCTGCAAGGGATTTTTGCCGAAGAACTAGTACTGACATCCTTCCTAACATTACCATCCAGAATGCTGTCGTAACTTTGAAATTGAATGCAAGGTCCCCAGAGAGAGGTTTGAAGGGAGGATTATTAGAGAGAGATCCTTGCTTGGCATGAAAGCAACTATAGAAAGATGTTTTTGCTGGATGTGAAAGCAAAGCTGTCTGTGTAGAGGGAAAAGTATTGTGCCTCATCAGCACCCATCTCTGCCCCCATTCCTACCTACTTCTCTTCTTACCTCCCAGCCACTGTTTAGAGAAAAGGTTATGAATAAAAAGTTGAAGAAAAGAAGATGGCAAGGTTACTTTTACTTTTTATGTAAGCTTTTTGCTATCTCAAAAGTTAAAAGAGTTTACCTATTTAGCGCTACACAGTGTAGAGGGTTTCCTGATTAACATTTTACTCTTGAAATGCAGAAGACACAAGTGTAACAAACCACAGAGAGAGAGAGAGAGAGAAGACCCATCTAATGTAGCTCAGAGAGAGAACACCCATCAATGCAGCACACAGGACATTCAAGATTTGGGCTAACCACCATGGAGCATGCCCCATGGGCCCAGTATCATAGGTTCAAAGCTAAAACGGAAGCATAAGACAGCATTGAGGGAGACCATCCAATGCAGTATAAAGAACTACCAATGATTTAGGTTATAGCCATCACAGAGCATGCTCAAAAATACAAAGCATAGGCCCAGAGTCCTTGAAAGCAAAATGCCTAGAATGGAATCAAATTACTGTAAAGAGAGGAAGAGAGGCATTTGCGCATCCAATTGACATAAGATTAAGCAAATGATGAAAACGATCAAATACAAGAAACACGAGCTGATATTCACTCAAGAGTCTGCGAAATATTGTGAGAAACAAGGGGAGGCAAACAATCAAAGACAATGCAAAACCGCCACCAAAACAAGCCTCTTAACTGTAGTATACACCATAATCACAAAACCCAAACCCTAGAAATATAAATGAGATCACATGCACACCACACAAACTGTTATTGAGATTTCAGGTTTTTCACAAGAGAATTTTACAGCTTTAAATAAGACAGCTCAGCAGCGAATTAGTGACTGTTACCATGGTGAAGAGAAGATCTGGCTTCTTGCATCTGAAAGTCATTTTCCATAAAATTACCTTCTCCACTCTGCTTGAACCAACACCTTCTCTGCATTTATGCAAAATATGTATATGTTAAAGATTGATAAAAGAAACAAAAAGAACGCAACAAGTTTATAAGCACAAACCAGAAAACAAATAGTTTCGTGAGTGAAAGGAGAAGAAAAGGATTTTGGGGGAAATAAATGCGACAAGATAGGGAATTAGTGTACCCCTAGAAGGCAGAGGGACAAATTTACATACATTTTTGGTTCGGGAGAGAAGTACTTGATCACAGAGGAGATCAAAAGCGAAACAGATTATCAATCAAAACCCAAAAGCAAGTTGAACTCTTATAGTAGGCTTTATTTACGCTTTTTCTTGGTTATTTAATTATCATATTTTTAGTGCTTTACCTTTTACCAATACTTTAGGCGCAAGCTTTCTATGTGTATCCACACACATAGAATTTATGTATCTAGATACACGAAACCATCCTAATCTGTCCAACATTTTCATTGGACGGCTCAGAGAGAGCCAACAACAATGTCACACATCAATCATGCTTGACAAAAACAACTGGCGCTACTCCAAGACATTGTTGAGGGATCACTCCTAACTATCCGATCAAAATCTTATAGCTGTGGGTCTCCAAACACATTTAGATTGGTTTGAGACACAGTTTTCCCATTTTTTAGTTGTGTTCCTACCATTGCTTGCAAAGCATGGGCCTGCAACTAGTTTAAAAAAAAGGAAAAAGAAAGCAAGAATAAAAAAAAGATCGAACTTTTGGAAGCCTCTCTCATCTAAACCATAAAAAACTTAATTTTGATGGTTGATCCTTAGGCCATCAGGGACCTTCGGGCATTGGGAGGTGTAGAGATGGTCAAGCGCAGACCTCTTTCTCTAGTTCCAGTGGCACTGTGAACTCCACCATAGCGGAGGCCAATGTTTGACTACTCGACCAAGCCAACCCAAACTCGCCCGAGTAACTCGGGTTCGCCAGGGGTGGCGAGCGCAAGTATCCCAATTTTGGTAGTCAAGCTCGGGATCTTAAAAAAAAGGTCAAAGAAAATTCTAAAACGTCAAGAAAAAAAGAAATTTATTTGTAATATTTTTTTTATGTTTTCTATTATTTTGGCAAAGATTGGGAAGCATTTTGGCCATAAATACTTATTTTACATTTTCCCTTCTTTTTGGATTATTTATAAAATACCCCCAGTCAAAATTTGATTTTTTCAAAATTCCATGTTTCACTACTTTTTTAACCTCATTTAAATGTGTTTTCTATAATTTTACTTTAAACATATTTTTCATATTCTTTCAGATTTTTTATTTTTTAACCATTTTTTGGCCTGGCTAGAACATGCCCAACTCGGGCCGAGTTACTTGGGCTCGGCTAGAGTTACTCGTCTGGCCCAGGGCCGGGTTATGGGGCCAAGTCAATTTCCTACACTGGCTTCTGCCCTCCTCCAAGGCCTCAAGCTTTAAAAGCCTGAATGGAGGTCTCCCCTCTCCGTCGAACAAGACTCGCAGAAAATCTTTAAAGCCCCCCTATCCCTAGAAGCTAGAGCCCACATATGATCAAATCTTTGACATCACTAGCACGATGATGGTCACTTTCAGACATGCATGGAGGGAAAGAAATACTGCTGCTGAATCCCTTGCTGAAGACGGGGCCACAACCCAAAATTTTGTTTCTAAACACAACATAAGCACGGCCTGAGTACTCGAGCGAAATCCTTATTTTGTTTTTAACACTACATAACCACGGCCTGAGTTCTCAACTGAAATCCAAAGACAAAGAGGGCTGTGTACTTAAGACAGAGCAAAATCTAAAAGCATCGTGAATTATGAACTGCGATTGGTTAAGGTAAAGCAAGAACCAAAATAAAACAGAAAACCCATTCCATGGAACAATGTTTCGTTTCATCTTTCTATGTTTCATGTTTTCATGCCTTCAAATTACCACTCCAACGACATTTTTCCTAGCACTAATTTTTCATACTTGTTTAGCATGTACTGTTCAGGTGACAACTAGTTTCCATAAAGCAAGAACCAAAATAAAGGGGAAAAAAAACGGTGTACCTAATTAAGATAGAGAAAGACCATAAACAAAGAAGTTCTAACAATTTAAGATAGAACAAGAACCAAACACAAACAACAGCAACTGTTAAGAACTTAATATAAAAAAAAAGGAAGACAAATACTGCTACAATTTAAGACAGAACAAGAACTAAAAAAAAGCAGGACTTAGGATCTAATAAGAACTTAAGAACAAAAGAAAAAATAAAAACTTTATCCATTTAGGCAAGAACTCTCACCATTTCCATCCCTAGAGGAGAGCAAAGACCTGTCGCCCCTTCCACCTTTCCCACTTGCTTGAACAAGCCTCTGAGTCCTTGGGGACAGAGCACTAACTTTCCCATTGACAGCACCAGCAGGAAGTGAATGCCTTCTGGTTACACCATTTCTCTCTCCACCCTCCGTGCTAAACCTTGGAGAACTCAGTCCACGAAGCTTTGCCTTTGCCGACTCAGTGGCCGCCATATAACTAGGAACATTGGGGCTATTGCTTTGCAAACCATTTTCTCCATACTCTCCCTTAGCTGGAAGAGAGGCCCTCCTCCGACTAGTCTTTGTATTCTCAACAGTTACTTGTTCTTCCTTGACACCCATTTCCCCATTCGTCCCTGCTTGCGCCTCATTCTCCACTAAAACTGAGGGTACTACTTCAAGCAATTCAACTGTTTGTTGCTCTGCATGCAAACAATCAGGTATATCATCTGCCGGTTTTGCAGCTTGGGTTTCGACTTGGAGAGGAGGAGGAGAACTGGACGTTATGGTTTTCTTTTCAAGTTGACGAGGAGGAGTGGTTGTTATGGTTTTCTTCTCAAGTTCAGGTTCCATATTTTCTGACGTGTCAGGAGCTGGAATCGGTGCTTTTCTAGTGACTCGCTTGGGCTTCTCAGGTTCAGCCTCGACCAAATCCAAAGAAGAAGGAGGAGCTTCAGGGACTGAATTGGAGACCTTTCGAAGGCTTCGCTTCACCTTTTCAAGCTCGGTTTGAGGGGAGGTTTCTGATACAGGTTCTGTTGAATGAGTAGTGACTTTTCTTAAGGTACGTTTTGGCTTCTCAGGCTCAGAACCAACATGGGTTGGAGATGGATCGGGGCTTGAAGTAATCCTTCGCACACCCCGCTTGGTCCTCACTGAATTGGTGGGAGGTTGAGGCTTTGCATCATTGGCCTTCTTTGGTTTAAGAGGGGGTTCCCGAAGGCGAATAGTGTTCCAGCGTTCAAGCCAGAGCCATGCAGCATTGGCATCATTGTATTGAATGCGTAGAGGTGCTGCAATGGTTGAACTCACCAGAAGCTAATAGCAAGGAACAAGGCCAAGCAATAAGAGATGCATTGAATAAACAAATAATGAACAGATACTTGTACACAAGTCATTACACAATCTCGTGCGACAGACACTCACTAGCTTTTGAACATTATCAATGTAACAAGGGCAACAATGACAAAAATAATAATAATGCAATGATATATGCTAAAATAGAAACATTTAACAAGTGCAATGAAATGTGATCGTAAAATAAAGAAGTATGCATTGAACTTAAGTGGGAAAGAAAAGAGCATGTTACTAAAGAAAACAAAGCATTGGATTCTTAAGAATGGATCATTTAACCAAGAAAGTGTTCTATACACGAAATTTGTTGAGTCACAACTGCCCAAAACAACCACTTTTAGTAAATTGGATTACAAGTTCTCAACTGCATCCAGCCAGCATGTGAACAATTAAAACAGTAGTACAGCAAGTTGGTATGGGGGAGAGAGGAGATATGAACTGTATATGAAGTGTTCTCCCTCCCTCGCTTCTTTTAGTTTCATCTTTAGCTTTGTATAAGTCCCAAATGTATTCAGCAGCTTGCACCAATGACCGAAAGAGGTATAAGTAGCACTCACCCCCTGATTGATCTTTGTCCAATAAAAGAATTCCTTAAAAATTGTAATTATGCCATCCCTTATAACACAACTTAGCACAACACCCATGAGAACCATTACCTCCTAACCGAACACATTACCAGACATCTCTTGCTCTTGGATCATATTCTCCAACCACAGTAAAGAGTCTTGGCATTTACACAATCTATTTAGCTTATTCAACTTCCTGAACGAATCCATCATAACATTGTCTATCATTTCAAGCTCATCTAGCACCACTTTCCACTTCTTTAACAAGGGAATGTGTTTACACCTGCAATGCGTTTGATTACAAAACCCAATATCCCTATTTCTTTCTTTTGGACATCTTGATCATGAATTATGCCTCCAATTCTCCTCCAGCCACACAGGTTCAAAACTCCCTTAGTTTGGCTCTCTGGTATATCTCTTTGTACAATGGGAAAGTTGCTCTTAACATCTTGTCCAACTACTTCATCTAGCAAAACAGTTGTCCTTTCCAATGAGATCGCCAAAAACCTCCCAATTCCAGGCTTTCAATATTCTGAGTAAGAATAACTAACAGACATGCCAATACCCTGCCCTAGACTTCCACCTAGTAGGACTCGCCACCACCATCGCCTACCATCTTCCAACTCTGTGGCATCATGTCCAATAAGATAAGGGAGTTCTCAAACAACGGTCACAATGCGGCCTTTATAAGAACACAAGTCCACCAACATAATTTAAAACAAAAAAAAGCCCAGCTTGGTCAGATTATAAAACCAAGTCGATGTGCTTATTACATAAAATAAAGAAGCAACAACACCGAGCATCTACCAACCACGTTCTCAAATTCAAATGGTTTAGGTTTCACTCAGCCCATACCTACCATTACGTTAATGAGGTCAAGAGTCATCTAGTCTTAATGTGGACCTTTGTAGAACATCAGTTTACCACCTAAAAAAAAGAGAACAGCTTGCTCATCTGAATAGATGAGGTTATTAGACCAAATAAAAATGCCTTCCAACATATGGTTATTTAAAGTTACCCATACTTGTGGAAAACTAACCACTACCACAATTCTCAAGAGAAAACCAGATTAATATTAAGAATTAAAATCCCTGCCCACACGGCAAAGACACTCCCATCAGCTCCTACATAAAGGTCTCCCCATAAACCTAGCCCAACCACCACATTATATGGGCCATAAACCACCGTCTTATACCACCAAACCGTCCTCCAAAGACCAGATAATGAAGAATACGAACCACTCCACATCTCTTAAATATTGAATTCAATGCTATATCATATAATAATAAAAAATCATAATAATGCTGTTCCCTACAGCGCCCTTTCAAGTTAGTTCGTCTGTCACATAAAAAGGAAGTAACATTTTGTATTTAAGTTTCTTCTACTTGTCCTTCCTTGCATTTTATTTTATGCGATAATGTTCTTATTGGTTTATAATCTTCAAAGATGCTCCAATCATGACTCCAAATTTCACACACCAAAGTTTTCAAAATATTCTTATTAGGAAGAGGAATGCACAAGGTTGGCCTGGGCCAAGTTTGGCTTCAAGGGCCCTCACAATGGCAATTCAGCCCAATTACTACTCTAGGCCAGGTGAGGGCCTTTCTAGACTTGAGTTTTTTCTTTTTTAAGTTTTGAGGGCATTATAAGATGCATTGAAATTTTTTAAAAGTGGGATCGATGGAATTCGAACTTGAGTACCGATAACTAGCATATGTGCAAACTGCAAACTAACAATGCAAACCCCAATTCACTAGTTGTATATTGGTTTGCCTATAAAATATATAATATATAATGCTCTAAGCATATATTTACATATAATATATAAACTATCATGGTCTAATAAGGGTGAGGATCTTAAACTTTCCCTTAACCCATCCCAAGCCTAGGGAAAGGAGGTGGGTTGCATTAGATAAGCAGCCTATGTAAGACTTTGCCACATCTTATCATTAGTCCTGAACCTATAGTAGAGGAACAGGATTCATGTAGCTAGCTCAATTGGGATAAGGCTTGGATGATGATGCTTATTATACAAACTATCAAAAATAATAATCCATATGAACTCCCTCCCTCCCCCCCCCACACGCATACTAAGGCTCTCTCATTACAATAGTAGATGCTATGATGAGGAAGCGTAGAGAGAGAGAAGCCCACAGTTTTTACAGTTGAGTAGAAAGAGATCTTATTAGATCGTAACTATCTCTACTCTAAGTCCCAAGGTTTTCTTTCTCGCTCAATCCAAACACAAATATTTGGCAATGGTCCATGCATTGCCAGTGCTATTCATTGGTTGGGTTAGGGGAAGGGGCGGGGGGCGGGGGCGGGGGCGGGGGCGGGGGCGGGGGCGGGGGCGGGGCGGATGGTGGGGATGAATGAGAGAGAGAGAGACTAGTAGGGTAGGATTGCTTTATGTAAAGAACAGATGATTGTAAGGAAAGCCTGAGAACATGGACACGGGTGTCCATGGTTTATTGCAAGTGTCGTTACACCAATAACAACATCAATGTCTAATACTTTAGAAACCTAAACACTTCTTAACCTTTCTTTCTGAAACCTCACTATAATACTACTTAATATCAATAACACAACATAATATCAATAACACAACACTAGTGTCTGATACTTTAGAAACTTAGACACGCGTGTCCATGGTTTTTTGCATGTGTCGTTACACCAATTACACCACACCAGTGTCTGATACTTTCGAAACCTAGACACTTCTTCTTAACCTTTCTTTCTGAAACCTCACTATAATACTACTTAATATCACCTAAAATCACAAACCCCACTTCTTGAATGGCATACAGAAGTGTCATATTTCAAAGGCCAATTTTGTATTAACATTTCTTACACTTGTATCTGAGTTAGATGTTGACACATCATCATCATCAGAGCCTTTTTACAACTATTTGGAGTTGGCTATATGAATCCTGGTCCGCCATTCTGCTCTACCTAGGGCCATCCCTTAGTGAGGCCATAAGTCCCCATATATTTTCTCACTACTTCCAACCGTATCCTTTTGGGCCTACCCCCTTGCCCTTTTTGAGCCTTCCACTTGAACCAACTCGCACCTCCTAACAGATGTGGTACTGGGTTTGCGCTGCATATGGAAGCCCACCCAAGTTTACTTTTTCACATCTTATCGCCTATTGGAGTCACACTTAAGTTCTCCGAAATATATTCATTTCAAATTCTATCCTTTTTTGTCTTGCCGCTCATCCATCTCAACTTCCTCATCTTAGCTACACTCATCCTGTGGGTATCTTGTTTCTTGACCACTCAACATTCCGCCCCATAAAGCAAAGCTGGTCTCACAGTTGTCCTGTAGAACTCCCCTCGGTGATCACATAAAACTCTGAATGCACATCTCCACTTTGCCCTCCCAGCTCTAATTCTATGTTCGACATCTTCCTCAATCTCTCCATTTCTTGGATTATCAACCCAAGATATCGAAAGCGCACTCTTTTTTGTATTTTCTTGGCCATCAATCTTAACTACTTCCTCATCTCTACTCCTATTCTTACTAATCATATACTCATCTTAATCAGGCTAATTTTTTTTTTAAATAGTTAGTCACGCTAATTTTAAAAACTTTAGATTCTAGAGCATCCCTCTGAAGTTCTAACTTTATGTTGATGCAGCTTCAGGTCTCATCAATCAAAATTGTGTCGTCCGCGAAGAACATACACCACGATACCTCATCTAGTAGGAGTCTAGTTAATTCGTCCATAATTAACACAAAGAGGTATAGGCTCAACATTGACCCCTGATGTAGACCTATTCTCACTAAAAATTCACTCATCTCTCCAATAGTTGTCTGCACACTAGTTAGCGCTCCCTCACATATATCTTTTACCAAGTCGATATAGTAATTGGAGACTCATTTCTTTTCCAGCACCCACTAAATTAAATCTTAAGGTACTCCATCATAAGCTTTTTCTGGATCAATAAAGACCATGTAGAGGTCTGTTCTCTTCGCCTTAAACTTCTCAATCAGTTGCCTAAGTAGGAACTCAGTGGTTGACCTCCCTCCCTACCATAAATCTGAATTAGTTTTTTGATACACTTGTTTCATGTCTTAGTCGCTGCTCAATAACTCTCTCCCACAGTTTCATAGCTCATAAGTTTGATCCCTAGATAGTTCGCACAATCTATATGTCTCTTTTGTTCTTGTAAATAGGTAATACAATGTTTTTCCTCCATTCGTCTGACATTTCCTTTGTTCTCAACACCTTGTTGAACAGCTTGGTCAACCAGTCAATGTCGCTCTCCCCCATACACTTCCAATTTTCTATCAGGATACCATCTAGTCCTAAAGCCTTTCATATCTTCATCCTCTTCAAAGCATCTTTCACTTCTGATATCCTAATTCTACGAGTGCTTTTATGACCTCCGCCCTCATTTATATCAAAAGGTCCTTCTACTGTTGTATTCCCATAGTGTTTGCCATTAATACTTTTTGAAAATAACTCTCCACCTTTTATTGACCTCTTTCATCATTCAACAAGACCCTTTGATCCTCATTCTTAACGCATTTAATATGGTCTAGATCCCTACACTTTTTCTCTCTCATTTTGCCAATTTGAAGACATCTTTTTAACCTTTTTCTTGTTCTCAGTTTACTGTAATGATTATCATATGCCTTAAGTTTAGCCAGCCTTACTATTCGTTTATCTTAGCATTTTTATATTCTTCAAAGTTTTTATCATTTTTATCACATTACTAAGTTTTATAACACGATCATTTTTTACTAATGACCTTCTAAACATCATCACTCCACCACCATGTTTCCGTATTGGAATCTCTTATCCCTTTAGTTTCTCTTAAGTCGTCTTTTGCCACTTTCTTAATACAGTCTGAACTCTTAAAACGTCCTTTGCCACTTTTCCCTCTAGTTTCTCTTAAAACGTCTTTTGCCACTTTCTTTTCCCTCTAGTTTCTCTTAATACGTCTTTTGCCACTTTCTTAATATTGTCTTTTGCCACTTTCTTAATACTCTCTTAAAACGTCTTTTCGCTAATGACCTTCTGAACCTCATCACTCCACCATGTTTCCGTATTGGAATTTCTTTTCCCTCTAGTTTCTCTTAAAATGTCTTTTGCCACTTTCTTACTATAGTCAGCCATCTCATTCCACATAAATTGACCTCAAGTACCATTTTTCTTCTTTAGCTAATTTATCCCTAAAGAAATCCATTTATTCCACCACCTAGTTCTTGGTCACCTATTAATTTCACCACTTTTCTTCCATCTCTTTATGTAGAGATGTTCAAAACCACAAGCCTATACTGTGTAGTCAAACTCTCCTAGGATAACCTTAAGGTCTTTACAAGATGGTTGATCTACCTTCTTAACTAGGAAGAAGTCTATATGGCTTTTATATGATCCACTTTTATAAGTTATTGAATGTTCATCTCATTTTTAAAAGTAAGTGTTTGCTATTGCTAGGTCATAGGCCACAACAAAATCTAGAATAGCCTCACCCATCTCATTTCTTTCACCAAACCCATATCCGCCATGTACCTATTCATGTCCTCTACTATCCTTCCCTAGCTAGCTAGGTTTGAGAAAGACAAGGAGCAGCTCGGTTTATGGGTTAGGAGAGAGATAGAGATTGTGTTTTCTATGTAAGAAAGATATTCGATTTATATGTAAGAGAGAGAGAGCTTTTCATATATGTTTTGGTAGTTCATGTAATCCATATATGAATCAAATGTTATGCCTACTATATGATTTTGAATAAAATCGTATACAACTAGTGGATTGGGGCTTCAATCTTAGGGTGTAGTGTACACGCATGCTAGCCATCAGTACTCGGATTCAAACACCAATGAACCAACCATTGAAAGCTTTAAATGTATTTTATAATGCCCCCAAATTAAAGAAAAAGAGGGGGGTCCAAGCTGAACCATGCATGACTGGCCTGAACAGCTAGGCCTGAGAATTCAAGCCCAAGTTCAACCCACAAAATAGATATGTGGCCTGGGCCCTTACCTATTCAAGCCAAGCTGGTTAATCCATTCTCATCCCTGTTTAATGGATAGTGATGTAGGACACAGTGCTAACCAAATCAAGACAAAAGAACGCGAGGCAAAGCAAATCCACCAATCCTCCTTGTTCAGGTTCTGGGCCTCTCTATATGATCCCTTAAAAACTGAATACCAAATTCCAAACATCCCAAAAAATAAGGAGCACAACTCACCTAAAACCTATCCATACCCTTAAACAAGAAAGCCTAATTCTATCATAGCTCCTAGTTCGGGTTCCAGCCCTCTCTCTGATCCCTTAAAAACTGAATACCAAATTTCAAACATCCCAAAAAATAAAGAGAACATCTCACCTAAAACATATCTATACCCTTAAAAACATCCCTTATAGTAAATTCTGAAATTCTAAAAAAGCCTCGACACAAAATCAGAAATCCCAAATTTAGCGAACAACCCAAAATGCCATAAAATTCTCGTCACTATACTTTGTGGTGCAATTTGAGTTCTGCCAATGTGCATAAAAAAGAACATAAAGAGATTGACATAGCTAAGCCCTCGAACACAACAATCCAGGTGAAAAATTATGAACCTTGGGAGAAGATTGCATCATTCTCCCCTGGTTAGAGAAAACTTGTCCTCAAGGTTTGAAGTTCGGCAATTGAATCCAATACCTCATTCATGCTCCTTCTTTGTTAACTAGTAGTGTTGTCCAATTAAGCAAGAACAAAACACAAACTTTTCGATTTGGGAGCCATTAATATCCACTTCTTGAAGAAGAAATTTCTCCAATTGGGAAGAATAATGTAGTCCAAAGAGTGAAATTTTTCACCCAACTGTTGGTTTGTGCGTTCTAGGCTTACTTCGAAGCTCTCATCAAGATCCACAAGTTTTTTGACTGATCTCATCGTTTTGAACCTCAAATTGCAACCCAAAGCTTAATAAATGGATCTTTGGGTAATCTAGAGTTAAACGGGGAAGTTTGGCAATTTCAATTTACAACTGTTGTGGAACTGTTGTGGAATTTCAGGATTGCTGATACAAGAACTAAGAGAATGAGAGGTCCTAATTTTGGATTACAATAAGACGTTTTCTTAAGTTTTTGAGATATTTGCAATTCTGTATTAAGTTTCTATTGAAACAAGGAGAGGCCTTTGAGCCCTAGCAAGAAGGACTTAGGGTTGCTTTACTTGCTCGATTCTGTTTCTTGTGATTTCCAGTCCTCATTTACATCACATACACAACTAGTTCCAAAAGTACATGAACCTTATTGGTACTAATATCAAGGCTAACTCTTAACTAATATCAAGATGAGGCCAACATCCAGTCAATCACAACAATGCTTGCAGTTTATATCAATAACTCTTATGGCAAGAATGACAACCTTTGATTGACACAAAATGTTAATTACCAACTTTTTGTAGAAGTTGGTAATTATTATGATAATAGATCGTAAATAAGTTGAACAAGCTTACCTTATGAGCAAAGGCATTCGCTAGAAATTTCTCTGTTTGAGCGGAGGTCCTTAGAGAGGTGTTGAACTTCTTAGCATCCTAAAACAAAAAATAGAGAAACCATCGAAGAGAAGGCAAATCAAACAACTCGCATACATGCACAAAAATATCATACAAACCTTTCACTGAAAGAGTAAAGAATAATTGTAGCTATAATTGGAGGGTAAGGACAAGTTTAGATGTGCTAATATCAGAGATATGTCAAGGTTAAAATAATTGTATTCGTCGTAAACCAACTATATGTTGCCTGTTAGTGATGACAGTGAAGGAATTCAAAATAGAGTTTCAGGAAGGTGTTTTTATCATTGTGCTGCCTTATGTTATGCATATAATGGTGTCAACATTATAACTAACAAAATAATAATATACAAAATATTCTAATTTTAAGTAGAGTAATATACTTTTGATAAAACTTAATTTTCCATCCAAACAGGCTCCAAGTGACCATTTTATGTGCTTCTTAAATTTTCCAGTATCAGAATCAGCCAAAAGTAAATCATTAATTATCAAGAAAAATATCATAATTTGTACTGCTACAAAAAAAAAATAAGCACTCTTGTGCAACCGCCTACTAACCAGTAACCACTGCTAACAGGCTGTACCAAGTACAACACAGAATATATCCAAGAACAGCAAGTTCATTTCCGTAGGGAAAAATAGAAATATAACACTCAAGCGCCACCCCCCACATGCACGCATGCACACACAAAATTTACACAAAACAGGAAAGAGATCAAGTATTGAAATGACTATATAGAATTCTAAGCACATAGTTTGGTTCGTCAAAATTACCGAGGATGTGGCCTTGCTGTATTTTTTTGATCCAGGACCAACGAGCCTAACCTTTCGCCCACGAAACAGGGCCTGTAACTTCACAATTGCATGCAAGCAGAGCAAAGTTGCAACAGCTTGTCTTCTCACCATGTGCCCACGGGCAAGTGCCTGTAACCTTATGATACCCTTGAGAGCCCGAAAAGCTCGGCGAGCCTGCAAAAAAGAATTTCTAAGTATTTTAGCCATAGATATAAGAAATAGAAAACCCAAGCCACCAAATATAATTTAAAAAAAAATAAAAAAATAAAAACATTAGGTGATAAAAACAGAGATCTACAAGTAGTAAGAGAAAATCTCCTAAAAACGTTTGAGAAACCAGAATACCCTCCCTTCCCCCACCACACACCACCTTCCCTGCCTCCCCTCTCCTCATCTCACAAACCCCAAACCCCCCCCCCCCCCTACACCTTTTCTGGCCACAAACTTACACCAAGTTCAAACTACAAGTAACAGTCAGCGGCAAGTGTTGAGGACAATTATTCACTTTTTTCTGGTTGATTAAAGATTCTAATTTATTTGATTATTTCATTGAAATTGCCAGAAAATTAGCATGATATCTGCAGAATGAGGTATTTAAAAAACAACTAATATTTTAGAATTTACTAAATCCCTGAAATACAGATCACAGCCAGAAGGAAATCAAGCAGTCCAGATAGAAATTCATTGTGTTTGTCAAAGAGTGAGGTACCAGGTAGCCTCTAAAAGCGGCCTGTGCCTTTATTGCAGCTTCTACCTCCCTTGTTTTATCCAAATTGCCAGTCACATCAGAAGCTAAACTCTCTTCTGGTCTTCCCATAGTTTGGTTCGAAGGCTGTGAGATCCCTTCATTGCATGAACCTCCCGAGTTTAACTTTTCCGGCTCCAGGTTCTGTCCATTTCTGTCAGTGATGACAGGAATTGGTTCTGATATCGTGGGTGAGTTAGCTGCCAAATCAATGGACGAACCCTTTCCAGTACTCAACCTCTCTTTCTCACCTTTCTACACATGACAATTGAAAGATTAATCAGAAATGTGGTAAGAGAGAAGGATGAACACCATCATGATACAGAGGAATTGTTAGTGTATTGTTTTATCCATGCTAAAAGAAAAATAATATGGAGAGAGGACCATGCATGATACAAAAGCTAAGGTATACACCATGTCATTGGTGGATAGAAGTAAGTTTCTCCCTGTTGTGTTTTGGCTTTTTTTCTCCCCATTACTAGGTGATATTGCTTTTGCACACTCCATAACCACATGCTGTTTGTTTGTCAGACGCCCATAAAGTTCAAGTTTTCCTTTCTCCCTTTCTATGGACAGGTGTTTTTACCTTTCACATGCAATAGAAATCCATTCACTCTTTCTCACTGTTTATGACTTTATATAGAAACCCAGCAAAGACACTCACACCACATTGCAGATTCAAATAAAGAGCCAATCAAATGCATAATCTACAAGTTGAACAGATTGCAAAATAATAAACAATCAAATAGAATGCAACGTCAATTGAGGATATCCGACGAAATAATGTTAATGAGAATTCCATCGGGTTATTCTTTTATAAGTCAAGTTCCATCATGTTATTCCAGTTCACAAAGATTCCATCATAATCTGCAAGTTGAGAAGAAATGCATAAATCTGAATACCAAGAAGAAAATGAAGAGAAAAACAATAAAAAGAGGTTTCACAAGGCAATGGACACATCCACATGGGCATGAGAGGATTTGACATAAGAAAAGAAAAAAACCATACCAAAAATCATCAAAATGTATAGGCACACAAAGCCCATGATTAACTTACCAAAGCTCCTTTTGAAGCTTGAGATCTTGAGGATTTTTTGCCAAAAAGAACTGTTTTCAGCCATTTGGCCGGAGATTTACCCATTGTGCTAAAACAAACCAGAAATCACAAAAAGCCCCTTACAACCTGCAATAAAACAACATGAATTCACTTCATCAAATGCTATAATACATGCCACAAACCCAAATCTTCTACATCCATTTCCCAGCTCATTAAAATTCATCAAGAGTTAGAAAGTAAAGAATAGCTAATTTTTTTCAGAAAAAATAAAATCAGCGCAAGAGCTGTTAATATTGTCGTCTTCAACAGATAGTAAAAATAATAATTCGTCCCCATGCAACTAATAATAATGATAATAATTCAACACACAAATTTCCACTGAAACCCATTTACAAGCAACAGAGCAACCATGCAAGAAATCTGGAGAAGAACGATAAAATGTCCTCTCAAAACCCAAACTGGAAAAGATCTGCAAGTTATAGTAAAAAGTACAAAAGATACGCTGTAAAAAACTCAAAATAAGCATAATACACACCATATCAGCTTGCAAAAATTCTTAATTTCACTCTTAACACCGATTCTAGTCTATGATCCAATCGCTATGATCAATTATCGATGAAATAACTCCATTAAAAAAATTGAACAATACCCAAGCAGAAACCAGAAACTAAAACGGCAAAAAAAAAAGATCAAAATTTGGATCTCAGGGTCCAAAGCAGTGCAAGATCCACTGTAAATAATCCCCACATTCAGTTAAAACTAAAGAAAAATACTTCAGATAACCCAAAAGTGAACCCTAAAGCTCCATCATAAGATCCAAACCAGAGCACGATCCATTAAGACAGTTACCATTAAGTGAAAATGCCCCAAAAAACCCCAACAGAATCCTTGTGATCACTACATTAAACAACCAAATAAGTCCTCGTATCACTCAAATGATCCAAAATATGTCAGGATCTACACACTAAAGTCAACATAAACTCCGAATGTGATAAAACAACAGTCTGAAAATGGGAAAAGACCCACAAAAAAAAGCCGGAATTTAACCAAAACTTCAAAAAACACAGGAAACCCACAAAATGTAGCTTCGATATACAAAACCAGGTAATATATACCCATTTCTATCACCATTAGCAGAGACTTCACCAAAAATGAGCATCATAAGCCGAAGAAACAAAAAGCACAACTCAACACTGAACCCTGGACTAGATCAGAAACTTACCAACTAAAAGGAGCTCGACCGAAACCCTAATTCTATCATTAAACAGCCTGAATGCGAAGAACAAGAAACACAGAGAGTGACACTCTCTGTGATCTATAGATACCTAAAAAAACCCCAGAAAATTAAAAAAATGGATAAAAAAGGGGGAAAAAAAGGGTTTTTACAGGAGAGAATTGGGGTTCTTAGAAAGAAAGCGAAATAAATTGCATGCGAAAATTAGGGCAATGGACCATGGCATCATTTTTGTTCTCTGAAACTCTGTAAAAAAAAAAAAAAAAAAAAAAACTCACAAAAACTCTGTACCTTTTTTTTAACTGAACTCACTATTACTTTAAAATGGTTACTCCAGATAAGATTTTTATTGGGAATATGACCAGTTTTACCCTTTACTTTATTTTAGAATATCCTTTATGTCCTCAAATTTAAATGAGAGACGTTATTGTCCATGTTGCGCGTGTTTCAATATGGCCGTTTTTTTCTTTTATTAATATTAAAGGGATGCATTTTTTTTTCTATGGAAAAAGTTTGTGTAGAGCCGAGGCTTTAAACAATCAAATTAGAGCCCACCTCAAAACTTTCACTAGAAAATATTGTTCCAATGCTCAAATATCCTCAAATTGATCATCTTGACATCAAGATGCATGGACATGAGAAAAAAATTGATTTCAAGTTCTGGAAATAGTGCATCTTGTAACGCACTTTTGGACCGTCAATTTTCAAGATTTTTAATTTTTCATAAATCTACTCTATCAACACTATTTTAAAAGTTTTAAAATTTATAATTAAATATAAAAATATATTTTAAATCTATCACAAATATTTCTGATATTGAAATTTTATTGTTTAGAGCCTCGACTCTATACAAACCGCATTAGAAAAAATAAGGCCTGAGCTTTATTGAAAGAAAATTAAAATATAAAATTAAGATGTACCTCAAAAACCATCATATTAGGTTATTTTGATGTTGAAAACTCTCTAATTGATCATCTCACATCGAGATGTGTGAATATGAGAATAAAACAAAATTGAGTCTTAAAAATAGTGTATCTTGCAACAAACTATCTAGACCTTCTATTTTTAATATTTTTAAGTGTTTGTAGATCTACTTGATTTTAACTATTTTTGGAGTTTAAAATTTTATATATAGAGATGAAAATAGATTCTCAAGCTATCCTAATAAGTTTTTACGCCAAAATTATATTTATCGTGAAATTTGGAGGTGCGCCTTAATTTGATAGTTTAAGGTTGCAACCTTATATAAACCACACCCTATATCTAAATCTTGTCCGAAAAACATTGCAAGCATGAGAAGTATATAAGATGGCTCTAAAATATATTTTCACCACTTATTATGATTTATATATATTATGTGAAAGTCATTAGCCATTAAAAAGGAGAGTCTAGATAATGCATTAACGTATACATTGTTTTCAAGGCTTGAAATCTTACCTTTTTTTTTTTTCTCAACCATAATTATCAACGTGGGAATGATTGATTTGAAGGCTTTTTGATGTCAAAACTATAATTTTGGGTGGGTTTTAAGGTGAAGCTTTAATTTTTCCTATGCCAAAAGATATCCCACTTCAACAGGAGTAGAATGTGTATTCTCCCTGGAGTAAACCCCACTTTAAATTATTTGTTAGACCCTAAATTTTGTGGATATAACCCTTTAACCTATAACTTAGCCTCAATAAAAACTCTATCGCAATTTTACCCTCTATACACTCGAAAACATAATGTCGCGAGATTGAATGGAGACTATCCCAATTTTTTAATGATAAGATCCAAGTGTTAGAAAACTGAATTTTTTAAAAAAATAAAAAACTGGATAATCATCTTATAATTCTTAAATGATTTCCAAATTTTCATATTACAAAAATCTCCCAAGTGAGTCTTTCCAACCGAAGGAGTAGAAAATAAACAATGATCCGAAAGGAGCATAATATGAGTGCTATTTGTTTCTATGAAGCCTTAGCCTTGTTCTAACCTTTTTCAAATTAAAAAAGTTCATAATTTTTAGGTAGAAAGATGAAATTGACCTTGCCTTTTTGGGTTAAAGACGGTTTTGTCATGAGGTTTTGGAACGAATAGGCGATCATGTGATATAGTGATAAGTGTGGTAAGATAGTTTATGGTGTATTTAATAAAGTAGTTATATGATCACATTATGGAAGATTTTATGGCATGGAATATGGGTTTTCTTGTCTTTCTTTGTGAACGGCTAATTGGCCATCCTAATCAATCAAATAAATCTCTCTCTCTCTCTCTTTTTACATAATAAAATTCATCAATTAAAAGAATAAAGTAGTTAGGCTTGGTATTATTGAAATCGGATCGTCAATCGTTTTGGTGACAGATTTGGTCTGATTAAAATTTTACACTTTCAATAAACGGATAGGGGATCGTAATCCGCATTGATATACTAAATTGACACTTTCAATAAACGGATAGAGGATCGTAATCCCCATTGATATACTAAATAAAAGAAAATACCTAGATTGCCTTCCCCTCTTTATCTTCGTCATCATTATAGCCTTTTTGTAACAATATGGGGTCAGGTACATGAATCATGATCCATCATTCTGTTATGCTCAAACAAGGGTCGTACCTTCAGTGAGACTATAAATCCCTATGTATTTTTTCACTACTTCAAACCACGTCATTTTGTGCGTACCCATTGTTTTTTTAAGCATTCCATTTGAACTAACTCATGCCTCTTAAATAAGTGTTGTACATAGCATGCGTTGCACATTGTCAATCCATTTAAGTCTATTTTCTTTCATCTTATCATCTATTGAAATCACACATAAGTTCTCTTAAGTTTATTCATTTCGAATTATATATGTCATGATCTTATCACTCATCCATCTTAACATCCTCATTTCAAATATATTCATCATATGGGTATGTTGTTTTTTTTATTGCCTAATATCAAGCCCCATAAAACAAAGCTGACCTCACAACAATCTTATAGAACTTTTATTTCAGATTCATTAGTATACGGCAATCACATAAAACTCTTGTTGCATATCCCCACTTTGCCCACCCAACTCTAAGTGTATGTCTAATATCTTCCTCAATCTCTCTATTTTCCTAGATTATCGACTCAAAATATCGAGAGTGTACTTTTTTTGTATTTATTGACCGTAAATCTTAACTACTCGTATCTACTCCTATTGTTACTAAATTTGCATTTCATATAACCTTGTCTTAATCTAGCTAATTTTAAAACCTTTTTTTTTAAATCAATTATTATGAATTTCATTCACCTACGAACGATTATAAGGAGGTTCATGAAGAAAAGGATGCAACCACAAAAAAATCTTAATGCACCACCCTTTGCTAAAACATCAACTTCTATTAATTTTAAAGCCTTTAAATTCTATAGCATTCGTATATACTTCTAACTTTATATTAACGCCGTTTCGGGTCTCATCAATTAAAACCTTGTCATTCACAAACAATACACACTACGGTGCCTCATTTTGTAATTGTCTAGTTACGTCGTCCATAACCCTCTCCTCTTTGTCTCTCTCTAGTTCCATGACAAAAGCACAAAGGCATTAAAATCCCTTACAACCAAGTGGGGTGGGTCAGTAACTGCACTTCTCTTTTTTAGAGAGAGAAGCAAAACATGCTAGCTGCAATGGAGGAAGAAGAAATAACTTGTTATTTTTAAACTCACAAAAGGCATACTAAATCCAGGCATTACATTAAATAAAAACAATAGGCATCCATTTCAGCCAGATAATAAACTATAATGGTATGTGTTCATTATAGTCCTATGGACTCAGAGAGAGAGAGAGAGAAAAGTAGAAAGAGAAAGAGGGAGAGGAATGGAGAGAGAGAGAGAAAGTAGAGAGAGAGGGGGGAGGAAAGTATACTGTAGCTGTCGGTGGAAGTTATATGGACTGTGGATACACTTGAATTTTGATGTGAAGTTTGTTTGTGGTGTGACGTTTTATCTAAGGTTAGGTTAGCTGGCCTCCTAGGAATTCATATGGTGTGGTCCCTCGGGTCCACAACTTTCAACACATGTGTTGCCACCCAATTTCAACTGTTACATATCTTTTCCTCTCTTGTTTTTGCATTAAATATATGAACTTTGATGGTCGTGTAAAGAAAAATTACACAGCCCACCCTTCAAAACATTTTTCAATCCAATAATTACTTTTGTCTTGTTGTTCTTTCTAATGTGATTTCCCTATTTTAGTTTAGGGTGCGGTTCTAAACAATCAAATTAGAGCCTAACTTCAAATAGTATCAAGAAATGTGGTTTGAATACTGAAAATCTTTGTGATAGACTTAAAATATATTTTCATATTTATTTATAAAGTTTAAAGCTTAAGAAATAGTTTAGATCTACATATCTATGAAAACTTGAAAATCAATAAAATTGACGGTCAAAAAATGTGTTACAAAATACACTATTTCAAAAAAATTGAAATCTATTTTTTTTCTCATGTCTATGCATCTTGATGTCAAGATGATGAATTTGGGGATATTTGAGCATCAAAACGTCTTTTAGTGAATTTTTTGAGGTAGGTTTTAATTTGATTGTTTAGAGCCTTGGCTTTATATAAACTTTTCCCTTTTAGGTTATTCTTAACAAAAATGGTTTTGGGCTTACATTGATATTTAAGGAGAAAGGTTTCTATATTTCCCTTACATCATATAAGATCTATGCTTCCCCTACCACCCAGCCATTCAATTTTGATCAAGAGAGTCACTCATCGTTTGATCTTAAATCTGACATTTCAAAGTATTTTATTTTTTAGTTTTTTTTATATACAAATTGTATGAATATGAAATTTGGGAGGTGTCATCTTCTCATTGGAACGTACCTATAAAAAATATTAAAAAAAAAATTTTGATAAAATATAATGACCAAAATACCCTTTAAAATTTTCAAAGGTATTTTGGTCATTTATTTTTATTGGAATTTATTTTTATGTATTTTTTGCTACTGAGAGTTTAATAGAG